TGCCACAGAGGGGTGTGTGTGTGGGGGGGTAGGATAGAGGAAAACGGGGACAATGGTGGTGGGAAATATACACTGGTGAAGGGATGGGTATTGGATGTTGGAACATTAAATGACTGAAACCCAATCACGAACTTTGGAACTGTGTATCTCACTGTGATTCAATTTCTTAAAAAAGAAGAATGGCCCCCAGTTGTTGGCCCCCAGTTGTGCTATTAGCCAGCGGCTGTGCATGAAGATTCCGGTTGGGGATTGCGCTGTCTGATTTCCTGGTCTGTAGCCGCCAGAGAGCAGTGGGGCCGCTTCTCCGTTCCCCGAGCCCACACCTTCTGCAGAGGTCTTCCTTCCCTCTCGGAGAGCCGTGGGTCCAGGCAAGATGGGATCCCACGCAACGAAGGCTACACTCCTTTCTGCAGTCTTTGCTAACGAAAAAGGAATTGATCTTAGGCCAACGCAAAGCTCAATGGTCAGGTCCTGAAGCCCAGTGCCATGTGCCCCGCCCCCAGCATTGCCAAGTGAGCCCTGGGGACTCTTGAGCACTGGGAGATGGTCCTGGGGAGACCCCACACGTCAGCACTGCATCCTCGGGTCTGAGCACCCAGCTTTCTGGCTCAGTGGTCTGAACATTACCGGGAAAGGTCCCTGTCCCCCCACCCTGAGCCCCTCAGGCCCCAAAATAAAATAATTGTTCCTTGGGGTCAGAAATATAACTCGAAGATCCGGGTCATACTCCGGGCGTGTCTAAGACCTGGGTTCAGTTTCTGCGACCGACTCCCCAGGATCACCAGAGTACAGCCCTGCTGAGCCCCAGTATCGCCAGTTGGACCCTCCAAATACAAATATGTCCTTCAAAGTGGATGGCGAAATAGTACAGGGGTTAAGGCTTCCCATGCGGCTGACGTGGGTCCGTCTCTGGCACCATCCAGAGTCCCCCAAGCACTGCCAGGTGTGATCCTAAAATCAAATTAACAAAACCCAAACGGACAGTGAATGAATGAATGAATGGATGGATGAGTGAGTCTCCACACTTCTGACAATGAAGGATCCTGGGCAAGGTTTGTGCTCCTGATGAAAAGAGAGTTTGTCACACGGCCCATCTACACAGTGGAATACGGTCCAGACACCAGGAACAAAGGAAGGCAGAAATTCGCTTATAAGTGGATGGACATGGAGAGGATGCTGCTGAGTGAAGTGAGTCAGAAGGAGAGGGGCAGACCCAGAATGACCGCACTCATTTGCGGGATATGAATGGGGCTGAGAGATAGCACAGTGGGTAGGGCGTTTGCCTTGCACGCGGCCAACCTGGGTTCAATTCCCAGCATCCCATAGGGTTCCCTGAGCACCGCCAGGAGTAACTTCTGAGTGCAGAGCCAGGAGTAACCCCTGTGCATCGCCAGGTGTGACCCAAACAACAACAATATCAACAACAACAACAAAACACTATGAGGCTAAGGACAGTAGAAGCGAGGCCAGGAGGACCTGTTCTTGGCTGGAACCTTGCCACGAGTGTGGTGGGGGGAGGGCAGTTAGGATGGAGAAGGGACCACTACCACAATGGTAGTTGGAAACAACCACTCTGTCTGCACAAGAACTGAAGAACTGAGTGTTGAAAGGATGATATACCCTTTCGGTTCCTGTACTGCAAACTACAATGACCAAAGGAAAGAGGAGAGAGAGAGAGAGAGAGAGAGAGACACTGCCTCAGAGGCAGACAGACTGTGGAGGGTGATGGGAGTGTAACTGGGGACATTGGTGGGGAGAAATGTGCACTGGTGTAGGGACTGGTGTTGGGACATTGCATGACTGAGACTCAATCGTGAACAACTTTGTAACTGTGTATCTCACAGCGTTCAGTAAAAAAAGAGTTTGCCGGATGTGTCCAAGGGGAAGAGCTGGTACCCCCTCACCCGCCACCCCGCCCTGTGCCTCCCTCCCAAAGCCCAGCGGGCATCGCCGGGACTTTGCCATGGATGCCCCAGGCCCCCAGGGGGGAGGGAGGGCCCTGGAAGGTGAGGTGCTGCTGCTTCCTTCACCAGCTGGCCAATCCCTTGAAGGGGCAAAGGAACCCGGAGAGATAAAGCTTAGGTGTGGACTATTAAGGGTTAAGCAGAAAGTCCAGGGTTAGCTGTAACCTGACCCTCTGGTGATAGCTGGGCTTTGAAACCCGGAACCCTGGGGGACCCGACTCTGACCCGGCCCCCTGCCTGGGAGGCCGGTTGCCTGGGGATGAGGGGTCACTTCTGTACACTGCCCAGCTCTCTGGAGAAGCCGGGTTCCCTGCCCGAGGATGCCTTAATTTCCAGCAACACGGTAAGTTGCAAGGGTAACTTAACTACGCCAGAGATGCTATAAAAACAGCGACTAATGTCTGTCTCTCTCTCTCTCTCTCTCTCTCTCTCTCTCTCTCTCTCTCTCTCTCTGGGAGCACTCACCTGGTAGTACTCAGAGCTTACTCCTGGCAGGGCTTGGGGAACCATATGGGAGACCAGGGATTGAACCCAGGTCGGCCATGTGCAAGGCAAGCGCTCTACCCTCTGTGTTATCACTCCAGTCCCAGAATTCTATTTTCCTTCTCTTTCAGCGTTTGGGCCATGCCTGGAGGTACAGGGTATTTGGGGGCTAGTCCTGGCTCTGTGCTCAGCGGTGCTCTCTGATGGTGCTCAGGAGGACCCTACGTGGTGCCAGGGATTGAAGAGGGTCGGCTACGCGGGGCCTGAGACTGGCCTTCAGTTCTATTTCTCCAGCCCCGAGAAAAGCAAATTCCTCTGTGCTTCTTTTTATGGTGGTGGGGATTGCACCCGGGTCTCGAGGCAAGCACTTTACCATGGAGCAAACATCCATCCTCAGCCCCCAATTCTCAAGGACAAGAGGGTCCTCACTGGGGAGTTGAGGGGGTCTTTCCGCAGGAGGCAAGAGAAGGGAATATCGGGGTCGTGTGGTTGCAGACTGGTCAGTGACTGGTGGTTTTTTTTTCTTTTTTTTTCGAAGACAAAGCAGGAGATGAGATGGACGGGTGGGCCTGGAGAAGCAGGTGCACCCGAGGGTGTAGCCCGGGCGGAAGGCCAGCAGGAAACCACACAAGCTGGCTAGATTTTGACTCCCAGGAGCTGGCCAGCACCTCTGTCCGGTTTCCTAGGTGGTGTGATTCACTAGGTGAGATTCACTAGGCTCTCCATTTGATGGGCTGTAGAGAGATCATTTGAGAAGGGGGTAACGAATTTGGATCAGGTCTTACCCTCTGGAAATATCCTGTTTAAAGGACTTAGGTGAGTTTTCTTGGTAGCCCAAAGAATTAAAAATGGTGAACGGGGATCCGGGTTTGATTCTGGGCACCGCCTGGTCCCCCGAATGCTGGGTGGGAGCAACCCCCAAGCACCTGGCAGGAAGAAGTCTGCAAATAGCACTTGGTGTGGCTCAAAGACCAACCAAACAACAACAAAAACCAAACGAACCAAAATTAGAAGCAAATCCAGCACCTTCATGACTCAGGAGGCAGCAAGGGCAGGGCTTTCGGTGCCGCTGGGTCTGTGTGGAGAGGGCATCTCTCTGCTTGCCACGTGGCAATCCACATCCTGCAGGTGGCTGGGCATCGTTGACTATTGAATTCAGCGATGGATATCAATATTCATTCAACTTGAATATTAGCAGAGAAGTGTCATGGGCAGAATAGAATGGAACTGGGTTGGAGATCCCCAAGTGCAACAATGTCCGGAATCAAGGCAGCCTTTTTGTGATCAAGGGTCTTTGCCAGATGGTTGAGTGCTGGTGCAGAGCAGGCACTCTTAAGAGTTTCTCAGAGAATTTCTCAGGCATGAACTCTTGAAAAGCTCGTGCAGGAATCCTTGAGGCCCGCCCTCTTGACCTTGAGTACCAAGCAGCAATGGCGCATGGAGGTGCATCTTGCTCTCTGTGGTCCGGGATCTTGTCCAGAGGCTCTGAACGTTGAACCTGAGACCACTCTGCAAGAGCTCAGCAGACAGAAGGGTCTCTGTGGGCTTTGGTGGTCTCATCATGCATATGCTCACGTTTCACTGATGGAAGGCAGGGGGGACGTGGTCCCTGGAGCGTACACTGGATTCAGTTCCAGAGACGTGTGCCGACGGGTGCTTCCTAACACACAGGCAGCCTGTGCTTCGATTCCCCAATGGCAGCCAGACGTGGAAGGACACCTCCTGGGTTGTCTGGTCACAAAACGGTTGGTCCCCCACCTCTGTCTGCCCTACCACGCCGCCTGCCTCGTCCAGACAGGCCCTCGCGGGCCATCCCAGGGATCCTTTTTGTCCCAGAGATGGCTTCCGGCTTTGACCTTTCCCAACCTTTCCCCAAGAGAAGAAATCCAGACGCTGCGCCGTGTCTACGGGGACAGCGATGGGCCCACTTGGCCGAGCAGCTGGAGACAAGGGTCTTCCGGCAGAGGCACGGGGGCACGGAGAGTGCTGGGTGCCCTGCTTCTCGCCGCTGCTCCATTGCCAGGCACGCCTCACTTTCCTCCGCAGGCTGTGCGCATCTGGCCCTGCAGCTGGACAGACCTAGAGGTGGTCCCGGGCCTGCTCTGGTTTTCCTTCTTGGTTCCAAAGCTTTCTGTGAGTTATCCCACCCGCGAGTTTTACCCAGGAGGGGCGCATTCTCCCCAGATCCTTTTGCCCTGGTCTCCTTCTCCTTCTTCTTCTCCTCTTCCTCCTCCTCCCCTCCTCTTCCTCCTCCTCCTCCTCCTCCTTCTTCTTCTTTTTCTTCTTCTTCTTCTTCCTCCTCCTCCTCCTCCTCCTCCTCCTCCTCCTTCTTCTTCTTCTTCCTCCTGGTGGGGGCGTTGTTACATCAGGCGCTACTCAGGGATTACTCCTGACTCTGAATTCCGGGATTCATACTGCCAGGCCTTGGGGGACCACATGTGGGGATCAAACCTGGGTGAGTCGCAGGCAAGGCAAGTGCCCTTCCTGTGCCCCTATCATCCCGGGCCAGCCCCTGCTTGGGATTTGGTGACAAGAGCAGGACAAGGACAGGCGATGAACCACTTCGTGACCAGGGAGTAAGGCCAGGGCCGTGACTCCCGACTTGTGTGGGCACTGTGGGCCCTCCCCTCTGCCAGCCAGCTCTGGCGAGACCGAGGCGGGTGGCAGTAAGGCAGACCCATGCACCGACCTCCAGGTCGGACAATCTGACGCTCCCAAAGGCCATCAGGGTCCAAGGAGCAGCCTGGGAAGTGAGCGGGTCAGTTCTGGCTCCTTTTCCCCGACAACAGAAACTCTGGAAATCCCAAGTGTGATAGGAGGCAACTATGAACAATTTGATGCTCTTCAGCTGGAGGACCTAGAAGAAATGGAGAAGAAAGGGCCCGATTCTGAGAGTCACGTGATCCCCCAAAGCCGAAGGGGGAGGAGGTAGAAAGCCTCAACAGGCCAATCCCAAGTAAGGAATCGGAAGAAAAGTCCCGGCCCTGATGGGTTCACTGGTGAGTTCCGGGAAAACTTGCGAGAAAGACCTACGGCCTTGACTCCTGCAGCTCTTCCAAAGTATGGAAGACACCGGGACCCTTTCTCACACCCCCCCTGATGCGAGTATTCCACGATACCCAAAGGCAGGTGGCGGCGTCTCTGTCTTTCTTCTCCTGGCCTGCTTCTCTCCCGACCTCCCCGCCTTTGCCAACCTCCCCCCTGCCCGCTCGCCTCTGCCTCCCCTTCCCCTCGCTCCCCCACCCTCCCAACGGGGCTTCCTTCTGTGCACCCCCTTCCTGCCAGCCGGCCTCCTCTTCTCCGTCCTTCCTCTCCTGCTATGTGGAGGGAGGCAGGACATGTCTGATCTGCGGGAGCCACTAGGCTTGATTTGTCGCAGATCTGCCCTGCAGAAAAGATTTTCGATGACAGAAACTCACCAAGAGTCAGGAGAGAAAACCCGGTCGTGCTGTCTAAGGGCCCCAGGGTGCTTGGACGATCTCGGCAATCGCCAGCTGCCCTTTCCTCATCCGGGTCCGCGAATCAGGCGTTTTTAGGAGAAACATAGTCCGATTCCCTTTCTGATTCATTCACACTTAGCTCACTGAGTTCGATTCCCAGCATCCCACAGGGTCCCCCGAGCACCGCCAGGGTAATTCCTGAGTGCAGAGCCAGGAGTCAGCCTTGAGCGTCGTTGGGTGTGACCCAAAAAGAAAAGAAAAAAAAAAGTTTTATGGGATCTTGATCGCCTTGGGTCACTTTTCCTCTCTGAACCGGGAGGCTGCGTCCTGTCAGTGTGTGGCCTTGAAACGGAGGTGGGGGTTCGGATCCCAAGCCCAGGGCACCAAGTTGGGTCCAGACTTGGTTGTAAGGCTGGGCCCGTTCCTAGGCCTGGCAGAGGAGGAGCGGTTCAGGGTTCTAGACAGCGGCCGTCACCTGTGAGAGCGGAGGTGACACACCAGCTTTTCAGGACCGTCTTGCTGATTGGGGAACTAGCAGCAGGCTCAGCCCAAAAGTGACTTTGACTTAGCCCTGATTTTACACACACACACACACACACACACACACACACACACACACACACACATTCCTGCTGGGCCAAGGACAGGGGTGAAGGTCACTGGTGCCCTGGCTGCAAGAACTGCAACACATACACACAAAGTCCTCACTTAGCCCTGATCTTACACACACACACACACACACACACACACACACACAGAGTCCTCAGTCCTCAGTCCTGATCAATAGGTTCTTGGAAACTTTGACCTTGACACGGTTTTGTTCAAAGTCAGCAGGGGCATTTTTGCAACGCCATAAGGACCAATAGGTCTCTTTTTGGGGAGGGTCTGCTGTATTGAATTCCTTTGGGGGGTTGCACCAGGAACTTCTCCCCGACGTGCTCCCTGGGGTTCTGTGTCAGAGGTTGTGGCAGGGCCGGCCCCCAGCGGTGAGTTTGGCGTTTGGCGTTCAGTCCCCACTCTGCAGGTGGGGCACCAGGAAGGCCACAAGGCAGCTTCTGAGTGTGAAGAAACCGCGTCCTGCTGGGCCAAGGACAGGGGTGAAGGTCACTGGTGCCCCGGCTGCAAGCACTTCAGCCCCATCCCTGAGTCTCAAAGAGGCAAATGACCTGGCCAGGCTCCACGGGGAGGGCAGCGGCTGTCCACAGCACCCAGTCCGGGGGGACTTTGTGCCAGACTGTGGGCCCCTGGGCCACCATCTGACATCAGTCTGGGTGTCTGTACTGCTGGGTCCGTGAGTGACACCCCCTCCCCAGCGGCCCTAAGCTGATCCCTGGGGATGCTGGTCTCTCTGAGACTCCGGAGCACTTCCCCGCTGACTGATTCTGCCCTGCTTTCAGCCCTCAGCCCCTGTTTGTACTGTGCCTCCCTGCCCCCGACTGGACGTTTCTCCTGGACTCGGCTGTGCCCATGTGACTCTGAGGGTCAAGTGGGTGGCACTGGGGGACGGGGGTTGGTCGGAGACCTGGTTCCCGACTGTCCGGCAGAGGCTGGGACTGGGCCTGCCACACGCTCCTGCCGACAGCCCCAGCCAGCAGAGGAAGAGCGTTCCAGCGAGGGTCCAGAACATTCCTCGCTCGCTTGGCCACTGGGCGGCCGCCACGAACAAGGACAGCGGGGACCCCTGGAACCAGCTGCCCGGTGCCTTGCTACGCCCCTGCCATCAGGCTGTGTCTGCCGGGCATGGGGTTCTCCGTTACTCATGGGCCCCTGGCCCATCTGCTAAGGCGATGATGGGGAGGGGGCGGCGCTTTCCTACGCCCCGAACCCCGCTCCCCAAGAGTCACGGGGCCGTGGGGGGCAGTCTGGGCCCTCACCCTCCTCCACCCGACCCACCTCTCCCGGCGGGTGCCAGCCGCCGCTTCCCCATCTGCGCGCGCGCCCCCTGCCGCCAGCCGGGCACCGGGCGGCGTCCGCGCCACCGCGGGACCCCCACGCCCGGGACCCCCGCCCCAGCGCGGGACGCCCCCCACCCCGAGCCCGGGTCGCCGCCCGCGGGGCGCGCCCCCACTCCGGCCGCCTCGGGGCGGGCCGGGGGTGGCCGGGGCCGGTCCCGGGGGGCGCGCGGGAGGGCCGCGCCGGGCCTTTGTCCCCGCCCGCCGGGGCCCCGCGCGGCGCCGCGTCCCGGGCGCGCCCCCCACCCGCGTCCCCCAATTAGCGCGGACCGCCTGACGTCACGTCTGCCGGAGATTGGCTGCCGGCTCGGACACTCGGTCCCCGGCGGGAGCCACTTTTCAACGCGTCCGGCCGGGCGGCCGCGTCCTGCGTCCGTCCCGCGCGCGCTCGCAGCCGTCGGGGTCCCTGGGGCGCGATCGGCGGGGCGGCGGGGGCGGGCGGCGATGTCGGGGTCCCGGCTCGGCCGCGGGGGGCTGCCGCCGCCGCCGCTGCTGCCGCTGCTGCTGCTGCTGCTGCTGGGCGCGGGGCTGCTGGCGGCCAGCGCGCGCGGCCGGGCGCCGAGGGTCGCCTTCGTGCTGCGCCCCGGCCCGCCCGCCGGGCCCCCCGCCGGCCCTGGGCGTCGCCCCCCACGCCAGGGCCGGCCGCAGCAGCGGCGGCGCGGGGGGCGCCCCGGCCGAGCGCCCCCGCCGCCCCCGCCCGGGCCCGCGGCCCCCGCCGACCCCGCCGCCCCCGTTCGCGCGCGGCGCTGGGGGCCCCCGCGGGCCGCAGGTGGCGCCGAAGCAGCAGCTGCAGGGGTAAGTGCCCGGGACCCCCGGGACCCCCGCGTCCCCCGCGCCCTCGGGACCCGCGCGCCCCCCGCGCCCCCGGGACTCCGCGCCCCCGGGGACCCCGGGACCCCGCGCCCTCGGGGACCCACGCGCCCCCCGCGGCCCCGGGACCCCCGAGAACCCGCAACCCCGTGTCCCCCGCGCCCTCGGGACCCCGCGCCCTCGGGACCCGCGCGCCCCCCGCGCCCCCGGGACTCCGCGCCCCCGGAACCCCGGGACCCCGCGCCCTCGGGGACCCACGCGCACCCCGCGCCTCTGGGACCCCGCGTCCTCCGGGACCCCGGGACCCCGCGCCCTCGGAACCCCGCGCCCCCAGGACTCTGCGCCCCCCCGCGCCCCCGGGACTCCGCGTCCCCCGCGCCCCTGGGACCCCGCGTCCTCCGGGACCCCGCGACCCCCGGAACCCAGGGACCCCGCGCCCTCGGGGACCCACACGCTCCCCGCGGCCCCGGGACCCCCGAGAACCCGCAACCCCGCGTTCCCCGCGCCCTTGGGACCCCGCGCCCCCAGGACTCTGCGCCCCCCGCGCCCCTGGGACCCCGCGTCCTCCGGGACCCCGCGACCCCCGGAACCCAGGGACCCCGCGCCCTCGGGGACCCACGCGCTCCCCGCGGCCCCGGGACCCCCGAGAACCCGCAACCCCGCGCTCCCCGCGGCACCGGGACCCCCGCGCCCTCGGGCCCGGAGCACACAAAAGGCCTGCGCGTGCAGCCGGGCGGGGCCCCCGGGACCCCGAGGGGGGGTGCGTGGAGGGGCCGCCGGCCCGCGCGCCCGCAGCTCCCCGCCCCCCGCCGGCGTCCCGGGACGGCCCAACAGCCCCGCACCTGTGGGCGCCGCCCCCGCCCCGGCAGGCACGCGCCGGCCCGGAGCATTTGGGGACCTTTGAGGACCCGGTTTCCAGCTCCTCCACCCATCCCTGCGGGGAAGGCGGGGTGCGTGTGTGTGTGTGCGCCTGTGCGTGTGTGCGCACGTGTGCGTGTCTGTATGCGTGTGTGCGTGTGCATGTGTGCACGTGTGTGAGGGTGCGCTTGTGTTTGTGTATGTGTGTGCGCTTGTGCGTGTGTGCTCGTGTGCGTGTGTGTACATGTGTGTGTGCTCGTGTGCATGCATGTGCTGTGTGTGCGTGTGTGCGCGTGTGGGATGGCCCGACTGTTTTTGTTCCTTTGGCTTCCCCAGGTTGCAGGTGACCCTACTCGTATCCCTCCGGGATGCAGTGCCCTCTCAACCGGCGCAGCCGTCCTAGGGAAAAGTTTGCCTCCCGTTTGTGGACCCCCCCTTACACCGACCCTCCCTTCCCCTCCCATTATGCAGCCTCTTTGGGTGCCCCTTGGGAATCTGGAGGCACCAGACGAGGTTTCCGGTCCCCCCTCACCCCTGCCCCAGCGCAGGGTCCTGGGAAGGCAGTGTGGGAAGGCGACTCAGTGGTTGCTCTGTTCCAGGGTCAATGTGTGTGGAGGACAGTGCTGTCCTGGCTGGAGCAAAGCGCCTGGTTCCCAGAGATGCACCAAACGTGAGTTCCCCTCCCCTCCCCCCTAGGCCCGTGGGCAGGGAGCAGGGTCCAGCCCCCACAGGGCCCTGGGGGAGGGGATTCCAGAGTGCTCCTGGCACCTCCTTCTGAGGGGGGTCTGCGTCACCACCCAGGAGGGTCCGGTGGGGGCGCAGGGCAGTCCAGCGGAGCCTGAGGGTGCATCGCCCAGGCCCCTGGGCTCAGAGCTAGGGGATTCCTAATGGAGGGGTAACCCGGGCAGAACCGAGGCCGAGGCCGTGGGCGTAAACATACTCATGAACAAATGCAAGTGTCTTGGGGGTGAGTCTGCTGCGCTTGGGGCAGTGCTCAGGGGACTGACGAGTGCTGGGCCTGGGGTTTGGTTTGGGGACGGGTGGGCAGAGCGCCTGGTGGTGGCCTTTTCAGCAGGCCGGGGGTGGCTGTGTGGCTGTGCCCGGCTCGTCTGCCTGGCCCCAAGCACAGGGTTTTATGGAGAAAGAAAACAGGGGAGCCCATGTGTAGAAAGGGGGTCTGTAAGTCCCTGGGCTTCAGAATGAGCCGTAAACTGCCTTCTTGGTTTGGCCAAACAAAGGCAGGGCCAGACTTGGGGCAGAGGGTAAGGTGAGGACCACCGGCTTTACCTGTAGGATGTGTGTGTGTGTGTGTGTGTGTGCGTGTGTGTGTGTGTGTAAGCTTTCTGGTTTGCACGATGGGCAGCATCTTAGAATAATGTGTCCCGATGCATCTAACCTGAGATTATCCGAAAACACCGGCAGCATCGTGAAGCTCAGGGTCCAGAGAAAGTGAATATTTCCTGGTTTTAAAAAGTATTTTTGGGGGTGACGTGGGACGATGCCAGGGCTTATTCCTGACAGTGCTCAGGGATTGCTCCAGGTGAGGCTCAAGGACCGTATGCGGGTCCTGGAGGGGGTCACAGCTGGGTGTGCCATCTCTCCAGCCCGGGAAGATGGGTTTCGCGGCTCCTTTTGACACGCGGGTTGTGTGAGGTGCTGATGGGACAGAAACCGGACTTCCGCTCAGATCGCTCATCATCCTTCTCACGGAGCACCTTGGCCGTGTGCTTTGGGACCGTCCCGAAGGCTGGCCGCTCACTCAGCACAGTTGGTCCGGGACTGGTTTGGATTGCGAAACGTGGACGGGTGTAGGTTTCTTGGACAGAACTTCGGGGACCAAGCACGTTTGTCAGGATGCCTGCCATCTTCCTGGAGGAAGCGGGTGGACGGTGGCTTGGAGGCTGCCCCTTTGGATGTGAGAAAGTACGGATGGCAGTGAAGGCTGGGTTCCAACCTAGGGTCACGCTGCCGCGGTCTTGTCATTCTGCCTTCAGACCGGAACAACATCAGAAATGCACAGGGTTGTGGGCAGGTGGGATCGGACTTCCCTTCAGAGACCACACTGGGTAATATTGCAGCAGCCTTTTCTAGAACTTACAGGTGCTGGGCTCAGGTCTCGCCCCCACTCCCCGCCCCCACCCCCCACCCCCAGGAACTCCATGCGCACCGTCTGATCTGCGATGTGTGTTATTTATTTATTTGGTTTGGGGGCCACAGCTGGTGATGCTCAGAGTAACCCCGAGCTTGGCACCCGGGAATTACTCCCGGCAGTGCTCAGGGCACCATATGGAATGCCGGGGATTGAACCCAGGTGGGCCGTGTGCAAGGGAAGTGCCCTCCCCGTCGGACTGTCGCTTGGGCTCCCAGTTTGCTCTTTGGGTGCAGCTCGCTGGCAGTGGTTTGCTGGGCTACTGACAGGCTTGAAAACGGGCTGGGCTGCCCTGTGCTCCTTAGGCCCAGGAGGGAGGCTGCACGGAGATTTGAAGAGGCTCACGTGGCAGGCGAAGCTGGGCTCTCAGGTGCTCTGAGCATTCGGGGTCCAGAAGGCACAATTAGAAGGGGACTCCGGGCCGGAGGATCAGCCTCCTGGCTTCCCGCTCTCCGGGTCGGGAGACCAGAGCGTGAGAGACCCTCGGTGTGCTCTCAGATGATTCAGAAACAGAGGACCGGGAACGGCGTCAGGGCAGAAGCGTTCAGACTGGGCGGCTTCTAGAAAGTTCCAGAGCCGCCACCACGATGACCAAGGCCCTGACCCCTGCAGCCGATGCCGCCCCTGCGGGCTCACGCCCCGGCCCCTGGAGCTGAGCCCTTGAATTGCTCTGGAACCTCAGCCGTTGCAGCTTTGCCAACGTCCCTTTCGATGCATTTCTGCTTCCAAGAGATCGGCCCGGTGAACAGGTGGGGCCGGGCACCAGTGTTGGGAACGGGAAAGCGCAGCTCCTGCCAGGGACAGAGCTTCTGGAAGGTTCTGCCGACCCACATGCAGAAACACCCTGGGTCTTGTTTCGTCTGTGGTCGAGCCGTGTGGCATGGGGTCAGGTTCAGAGCCTGCGGACCTCACTGGGTCACCGCTGTGTTCTCCTGGGACTTCACTGGACGCCTCTGGCAGGTACGTGTCCCCTTCCGGCTGGACAGTGCCCTGCCCGGCCTTCTGTTTCAGGGCCGTGTGGGTGTCACATATGTGCATCCCTTGCCATAGGAGAACGTTGTTTTTTTTTTTTTAATTTAATTTAATTTTTAAAAAAATATTTATTTATTTATTTATTTTTGGTTTTTGGGTCCCACCCGGCGATGCACATGGGTTCCTCCTGGCTCTGCACTCAGGAATTACCCCTGGCAGTGCTCAGGGGATCATATGGGATGCTGGGAATCGAACCCGAGTCAGCCGCGTGCAAGGCAGATGCCCTACCCGCTGTGCTATCGCTCCAGTCCCGGTTTTGTTTTTTTAAGAGCCAAAGTTTTTATTTGTTTCTTGCATGTGCAGTATTCCTCGATGACGTCCTTGGCCTGTGATTCTTTGCCGTAGACCTTCACCACAACACAGCTGCAGCCAACCACTTTACGGGGTTTCCCTTCTCTGTCGATTTTACAGAGGCCCACCCATTCCCTAGTTTCTTTCTTTCTTTCTTTCTTTCTTTCTTTCTTTCTTTTTTTTTTTTTTTTTGCTATTTTGGGTCACACCCGGCGATGCACAGGAGTTACTCCTGGCTCAGGCATTCAGAAATTACTCCTTTCGGTTCCCCGGGGGACCACATGGGAGGCTGGGAATTGAACCTGGGTCATCTGTGTGCAAGGCAAATGCCCTACCCGCTGTGCTGTTGCTCCAGCCCCCCATTCCCTAGTGTCTCCTTGTCACAGCCTTAATTAGGTTGACCTCGTGTTTAGCCCCAAGTGCCTCCACCAACCTGGCATACCTAGGCTCATCACAGTTGGATGCAAGCACACAAGGATGGGCTTGGCGCTTGTCTAGGGCTTTGGTGGCTTTGCGGATGTCACGGGGGAGGCCGTGGTGACCGAGGGCTGTGTTCAGCACCTCTGGTAGCGCGGGATTCGCATCCATTACACCGCCAGCAGCAATGCCTTCCTCGGCCATGGCGGTGGCTTACGGGGGGAGCCGAATCTTGAACGCACCCGAGCCTCTGCCTCCGTGCAGTTCCATGGCGGCAGGAGGGACAGAGCTATAGGAGAATTTAAAAAAAATTTTTTTATTAGTGAAACACCATGAGGTACAGTTGTAGACTTACTTTTTTTTTTTTTTTTGCTTTTTGGGTCACACCCGGCAATACACAGGGGTTCCTCCTGGCTCTGCACTCAAGAATTACTCCTGGTGGTGCTCAGGGAACCATATGGGATGCTGGGAATCGAACCCGGGTCATCCACGTGCAAGGCAAACGCCCTACCCACTGTGCTATCTCTCCAGCCCCTAGACTTACAAATTTTTGTGCCTGAGTTTCAGTTATACAATGATCAGGTACCCATCCCTCCACCAGTGCCCATTCTCCACCACCACGGATCCCAGTATCCCTCCCATCGGAGAATTTTAAGCAGTTCCCCGAGCACAATTTCTCGGCCAAGCGCCTTGGGACATTCTAAGGCGGGTAGGGGTGGAATTCACGCCTGTGAGAGGTCGTGACTTGAGGGTGGGGAGCTGCAGGAAGGCAACAGTGTCGGAAGGGGGTCTCGGAGGTTAGGGGCCTGGTCAGGGTGCCACTGGCCGACGCCCCAGAGCGCCCCGCAGTGGCTGGTGTTCATGGTGGGCTGAGGGCTGGTGGTTGTGGCAGGTGTCTCTGGGAGTCCCAGCCCAGACCTTTCCCAGGTCCCAGCCCCTTCCCCGGGAGAGTATCCGAATGTGCTAGAGAAGTGTGGGCATTGCAAGGTGGCCGCTCCGGGAAGTGGTTTGTGGGGCTGACTCCGGCCCACGGTGTTGTGTTATATGCTTGGAATTTGCTGCAGCAGCTTGAAATTTATAAGACTGTGATATGTCTATGTGACGTTTACTAAGGGGGAGGATGTGAAGGCCCCCACCAGGCTTAACTGTGAGCAGAGAGGTCATGCAAATAGTTTGGTTGTGACTTTTTTTTTTTGCTTTTTGGGTCACACCCGGCAATGCACAGGGGTTCCTCCTGGCTCTGCACTCAGCAATCAACCCTGGCGGTGCTCAGAGGACCATATGGGATGCTGGGAATCGAACCTGGGTTGGCCGCGTGCAAGGCAAATGCCCTACCCGCTGTGCTATTGCTCCAGCCCCTGTGGCTTTTTAAAAAACAAAATTTGTTTTTGCAGGCTGGCACACCCAGCGGTGCTCAGGGCTCACTCCTGTGTCCCCGGATCACTCCTGGAGGTGCTCAGGGGGACTAGATGCGGTGCCGGGGATTGAACTTTGTAGGGCATGTGCCAGGCAGGTGCCCTACCTACCCACTGACTGTGGTTATTTCTCAACATACCTGTTGTCACAGCATCCTCATACTCCTGAATTGTCATGTGAGTGTTTCTCAATTATACCCTAATAAAGGTGGAGAAAATATTGATATGTGTTACTTCCGTCCAGTCCTGGATTAGATTACCAAGAGCAGAGACAGGAGTTTGGGATGTCTTGTTCCCCAGAGTGAATTATTTTAAAAGAACTGTACTCCAAAGTAGAGAGAGAATAAGAAGGAATGTGCCTGAAAGAGGCAGGGGTTTGGATGGGGTGGGGTGACGGGGGGGGGGGGGGGATCCTGGGGACATTTTTTTTTTCGTCGATTGCCTCGAGCAGGCCCCAGTAACGTCTCCTTCATCCTAGCCCTGTGATTATATTCAAGGCTCTTTAGGAGAATGAGACCCATCATTGTTACTGGTATTTGGCATATTGGGTACGCCACGGGGGAGTTTGCCAGACTCTGCCCTGTGGGCAGGCTACATTCGATAGCCTGCAAGTTTGTCCAAAGTAGGAATGAGATGATAAGATGTCATAAAAGATGTCCTGATAAGATGTCGCATTCGCGGCCGCGCGGTACCGGGAGCTGGATTTTATAGTTTCTGAGTCTTGGCCGTTGATGGGATTACACGGCGCCAGGGGGCCAGGTGGTGGGTGTGACCCCTGCCTACTGGAATTTGGAGGATCTGGGTGGAGGATGCTCGACTCCAATCCGAGTAGGCTGGGAGATCTCGGCCCTGGAACCCGCGTGGCTTTGTCCCTCTGCCAGTACCTTCATGGGTACGGAGAGTGGTCTCAGCATGGTGGTGGCTGGTCCTGGAGGTCTTCGGCTGCCAGAGCCCTGGTCAGGGCGGGGAGGAAAGCTCAACCCACTCCCCTCCAACGGGCCCCGGAGAGGAACAGCCAGGCGCGGGGGACATTGGTGATGGGAAATGCACACTGGTAGAGGGATGGGTGTTGGATCATTGGATGACTGAAACTCAATCATGAAAGCTTGTTTTGTAACTATCTCCTGGTGGTTCAATGAAAAGAAATTAAAGAACTGTGGAAGAGAGTAAGTATGAGATTGGGCATCTCTGGTTTTTCAGAACTTGCTGTCTTGGGCTGGAGGAACAGTCCAGGGTTAAGGCGGTCGCCTTATGGGCATCTGGTCCTGATTCGATCCGGCATACGGTCCTCGGAGTACTGCCAGGAGTGATCCCTGAGCACACTCAGTGTGACTCAAACTCCCTCAAACCAGCAACACCAAATCTTGCTGCCTGCGAGAAAAAAGATTCTCTTTCAGATATCCAGGGATTGGATGAAGACTAACCCTGGTCCCAGCTTTTGAGACTGTAAATCCTTCAGTGACAAGGAGGGAGACTGACACTGTGGGAGAAATTGATCTGTGGTCGCTGTCCTCTCGGTTCCTTTCCGTGTGGCCAACTGAGCCTCGCTCTGGTTATTGCCCTTTGAAACAGAAACCTGAGGGCTTGGAGCCTCCCCCTGAAATGCGGGAGCACAAATGCAGGAGCACTTGTCAGCGAGCGCACCGTCTCCTTCCACTGGTTTGGCGGCTAGCTGGCGGCTCTCACTGTATGTGCTCGTGGCCAACGCCCGAACCGAGGGAGTGGGCCCAGTCTGACGGACCTTTGCCACTCCCGCTGCTTCTGCCGAAGACAACCCAGCCCCCCCGGGAGCCAGACTGGATTGCTTTTTGTTGATGGAAATGGAACTTTTTTTTTCTTTCCTCGGTTTTATTGAATTTTTTAAAGTCGTTCGCAAGAATTGTTTACATTCAACATTCCAATACCCATCCCATCCCCGTCACACCTCCCCACCAGTATTACTTCGGATTTTCCCACCACTACTCAAGCCTACCCCAAAGGCAGACCCGAAATAATTGACTTTGTAACAAGTCTCACAATTTGTTGTCAGACGTTACTGGTGGACTGGTGCCCGCTGGAGCAAATCCATGAACAACTGGAGGACAGTGCTATGGCTCGCTATGTATAATCCGCTAAAAATGATCCAAAAAGGTTTCCTTAGAGGAAAGTGTGAAAATTGTTGTATCTCACCTTGGGGCCATTCAGCCCTTGGATAAGAGATTACTAAACATGTTGTTACAGGTTGAGCCTTGTGTGTGTGTATATATATATATATATGTATATATATATATACATGTTGTGTGTGTATATATATATACACACACGCATGCATATGTATTTTTTATTGTTTTAAATTTTATTTTTTTTAGACCATTCCAAAGTTGCTTATGATTGGATTTCAGTCTTACAGTATTCCAACCATCCCTCCACCAGTGTTCATTTCCCAGCACCAGTGTCCCCTGTATATGTATTTTTTTTTCTTTTTGGGTCACACCCAGTGATGCTCAGGGGTTACTCCTGACTCTGCACTCAGGAGTTACTCCTGGTGGTGCTCAGGGGACCAGAGGGGGTGCTGGGAATTGAACCCAGATCAGTCGCGTGCAAGGCAAATGCCCTCCCCGCTGTGCTATCGCTCCAGCCTCTCAGTCAGCCTTTGTGTGGAGATTTCCAGAGGCCGAAATTACAGCAGGAAGCGTGGATTGAAGCATCGCTGATGGCTCTGGGCCGGCCCCTTGGGCACAGATGGCACTGCCTTTGTTTCCAGAGTCAACGGGTGCTCTCTGTGGCCTACGGGGTGGCCCTCCAGAGGGTGGGGGTGCTCCATCACCATCTGGGACATGCCCCCCGACTCTTTGCTCCTGGTCCCCATCCTAACTATGCCCACGCCCTTTCCCACTGGGCCTTGGGTTTCCATATCATCTTGGGTCCCCCTTTGTCTGGGGTACTTGGGCTGGAGAGAGACATTGGTGTGGAGCTGTGTTTCCGGGGGACACTGGACTGAAGGGGCGCGGGTGAGGCAGAGGCCCGGGTGCCGTCCCAGGGTGTGGGCACCTGGGCGGTCCTCCGGGCATGGCTGGCGCTTGCGTTGACTGAGCGGGCACCTCTGCGACTTTCACCTCGTGCCAGGGCCTCTGGCGAGGGGGGCCGGGGCAGCCCTGCCCACCACACTCACCCTCAATTCTGTTCTCTCCTAGCAGAAACAAAGACGCTGTGGCGCTTCTGCTGGCGAACCACCCACACCGCGTTGGAACCCCCCCTCCCCCAGGCCCACTCCCCGACTTTCTGCAGGGATGATCTAGATAGTCAGCAGGGCCCCAGGGGCCCAGAGCGGGACAGCTGTGGCATCACCTGGCTGAGAGTTGGCGTATCCCTGAGACTCACCCAGATGGCCCGGGGCCTGTCTTCTTTTTTAATTGTTCTGCACACCCGGCAATGCTCAGGGGTTCCTCCTACCTCTGCACTCAGGAGTCACTCCTGGCGGTGCTCGGGGGACTTTATGGGATGTCAGGATGGAACCAGGTTGGCCGTGTGCAAGGCCAGCGCCCTCCCTGCGGTGCTATGGTCCGGCCCCCTGTGGCCAGCCTTTTGCCGTCAGCTTGACCTTGCCCTCACCGGACAGGCTACGGAGGGCTCCTGCCGGGGCGTCCACAGCTGCGTGGCCAATAGATCGCCACACTGTTTCCCACGGCAGCTGGGGGAGGGGAGCGAATTCCCCCTCCCGAGTCTGAGAGTGGGGGGCAGGCAGGGTCAGGGGTCAGCTGGAAAATCCTGTCTGAAGGAGAGCCCCCAGTGGAGAGAGACGACCCGCAGGTCAAGTCCACGAGCTGTGAGTCCCCCGGAGTTCTGGGGCGGGAGGGCGCCAGGCTTC